TCTGCCAACCCAGAACGGGACACCTTGAGACAGTTCCTCATCAGGCGGCCTAACAATCAGAAAATCACCTTTGTTTATATGGCGCCGGGGGTTGAAGTCCACTTTTGGACGGCCCGCCCTCGGTCCTACATATATAAGCGAAGCATTTGGCGAAGGAGGGTCGGCTTCTTGAACTTCCTCCACAGTTTCGATTGATTGTGGCCAGAAGGTGTGAGGGTAGATCTCCGGCTCGTCCGCCCCGAGGACATCCTCTTCCTCACCCTCTCCCGTCTCCTCCTTCTTTTGCTTTTGGATCATGTCGTCCGCCTCGACGAAGATGGCTTTCAAGTAAGACAAAGCATCCTCCTGCTTGTCGACCTCCTCCTTCCTATATGTCTGCCACATGTGTCTATGCTGTTCGAGGACATCCAAAAAATTTTGGACACTGTCACGAGCCATCCGAAAATTGTCTTTAACGACGCGGGAAATAACACATAGCTGTGGAGGGGAGGTAGGGCCTGCATACTGCCCATCGACAACCGGGAACCAGTGAACTGGTCTGCCTTCCGGCATCCATTCCGCATCAGTACAGTACTTCTTGTACACCATGACGGGACTGCCGTCACGCATGAAGAATTTGAAGAGATGCGGTTTCGACACACCGACGATGCTTCTGTCGACGTATCGATCCACTACCCGGCGCCAATCGGCAATGTGATCGAGCTCAATGCACTTCGGCGGTATCTTGTGCGACGACTCGATAAGCGAGAACAACTGCTTCATGGTGTAAGCATCGTTGTCCTTCAGTTTTTTTGAGAAAACACTAAAAGTTGCGTCTATGCCAGTATGCGTGTGGCCAACGAGCATGAACCCCACTTCGACATCTTCGAAAATCCCGAATTTCACCAGAAGAGAGGCCAAACACATAAGGTATTGGTTTTTGTTTTCCCTCCAGCAATTGTCCGCCTGGATTCGGAGGTGGCGTGGCCATTTCTGTCCCGACGCCCGCAACTCACATAGAGTCTGCATAACGCACGTCATGGTGCCATCGGAACCGTGCGCATAGAAAGGCAAATATGTGTAAACATAAATGAACGGTTTCCTGCCGTGAGCTACGACCGCGGTCAGGTTCGTTTTCATCATCATGTCGTGTCGATGATCCTTCGAGTAATTATACATGTCGATGTGAGGAATGGTTGTCTTTTTCTGATCCATTCCATCGACTATAAGGCAGAGGTATTCCGTGGGGTTCAAAATGGAACGAAGTTTCCAGTCAGCATAATCTGCACAGTGAGCGACCTGATCTAGTTGGTGTTTGCGGTGCTTTTCATCGAAATCCCTACGGTCACAAAGGAGAAAGGCATTATCTCTGGCCTGTCTAAGGCAGACGCACTCGCCACACTTCGTGAACGAGTTGGACTTGGCAAGGTCGGCATGCCACAAGTACTTCCTCCATATGGAGTAGAAGACTTGCTCCGAAATGACGGTCTGACCCGCCGCTTCCAAGTCCGCCTTGATGGACTCGTACACAAGGAGCTTCGTGAAATAAGCAGGGAGCCTAACTTTAGGTCTCTGTGAGGTCCCCCTCACAACCATTTCGTTAGGCATAGCATCTCCATGTTCTTCCACGAACCTCGTCACACGAGCCATCAAGCTCACGTACTCCGGTCTCGGGTTCAACAATCCCCATCGACCATGCCGTCCACGGACTACCCCGTCGGACTTGCACTTGCTATAACGACGAAATGTGTTTCGACATATCCCTATTATTTTGCACCAACCGGCGATGCACACACGGCGTTTGCACTGCACTGGTTGGACTCTTTCCAGACCACTGTCGAGGATTGTGAAATTGTCAAGGGTTTGCATCCACCACTCGATCCTCCTTTCGAGGGATATTTCGTAATAAGCTTCGCGCACCGGTTTGATATCGTCAATGGTCAAGACCCGAAGACACTTGTTCTTACAACATTATTGCGTCGGAACGAGTGCAATGTTAGTTTCGTTCAATCGACTTTCTGCCCTCTTCGAATGTTCTAACCTTCTAACCGGCCTAAATCTCCGATTATATCTTCTCCTTTCTCCAGGTAGGGGATGAGACAAAACCTGAAGGACTGCTTCGGGAGTTCCAGGGTGACTTCTGGTCGGGGACCTATGCGCTACACCTAGGAATTTCGATCTTTCCGTGGGAGCGGTTCTCGGCAAATCGGATTGGGAGGATTCCGATGAACTGTAGAAATCTGTGTCTACGAAACTTGTCTGCCAATTTTCCATTGCACCCGTGGCTGTCATCGACGGAGAGCCAATTTTTTCGACTTCACATGCAATTCTCTTACCTATCTCGGCACTTCCACACGCGCGTGCCGTTGCCTGTTCCCTATCAGAACCGTTTCTACCAAATGCACCGCACTGTTCCCGACCAGATCCGTTTCTATCGGGCGTACCGCAGAAGTCTGTATCCACCAACGACCGACTGTAGTCAAATGCTAGGGGTTGGGTAATTTCAATGCTTTCAGACAGTCTACCCGCTGTCGGCACTAGATCTGATCCAGTCATTTCGGACACACCACAGAAATCTGTGTCCACGAACATCCATCTATCGGGAAACGTCTCGACATCCCGAACACCCTCACTACCGGGGATTAGCCATGTAGATACGCGCTGACTGTCTGGAGCGTCGGTAAAGCGAACAAAACGACGCCGAGCGGACGTCGTAGACGAGCCTGAATGATTCGTCGGGGTCAACATTGAGAACTCCCTTTTCAAACCGCAATGCCGATCAGAGGGAGTTTCCGGGCTGCTGTCACAAGAACTACGTTCTCGAACATCGTCTTCTCTGTGTTGTCGTGACGGTGGCGGTGGCGTGACACAGTGGACGGATTGGACAGCCATTTGAAAAGACGATTCACACGGAAACTGTACAACAAGAAAATCACGTCAACGTATGACGAGGTCAAGGAAGTAAACAACAGGGAGCAAACTCGCATTTCTAATATTTATCACAAAACAATGGAACAACAACATTTGAATCCATATCGTTTTGTCGGACCCTGATGTGAAGCTCAAGTGGTATCTCAAGTCCGACTCCTCTCCCACTCGTTCGGTGTGCAAGTGGTTTAGATAAGTCCGAGTAAACTCGCACTTTTTCAGGTGAGAGTACACATGCGAGCTGATTCGGACCTATTCACCGTACAGTAAGAAATTAAGTTCATGGTCGGAACAAGAGTGAACACAAGTGCGAGTCAATTCTGTCTTATCCACTAAACAGCAAGAAATTTCAAGTGCCAATAAATTTGCACTTCAAAGGAACATTTCAATTACGCAAATACAAAAGGACTTCATGCTTTTGGGCCGAGAAGAGACGCGACTTATCGACTAAGGAGAAACAAATTTAGGGGGATGGTTGGTTGAAGAGCGAATAAATTCGCACTTGCAAACGAGCATTTCCATTATGAAACTGGGGCTTATGGACGAGTCACA